CAAAAATTTTTAATTAAAAAAATTCTTCTGAAAAAGAAAAATAGAACATAAATCTTATCTGTTATTTAAAGATGAGAAAACAAAAAGTTCAATTTTAAGAAATAAACTTTAAGAAAATCAACTTTTTTTCTTCGATTGATACACGCTGGATTTGTTAACGTTTGTTCACAAATGAAACAATTTAATGAAAAGAATTAAATTATTTAAATTAAAATTCAAGTTAAATTTAGATAGGCCTTTTTACTCGGTAAATTTTAAAGGAAATTGGAGCAAAGTGGAAACAAAAGAAAGGTTTAATTCTGTCTCATTTATTTTTCACTTATGAATTTTTCCTAATTGATCAACTATCATTATAACTTCATCTTCTCTCATTCTCTCCCATTTTCTCTCTCATCAAAATCTCTTATTTCATTTAATTGTTTTCATCCATCCCTTTCTACTCTCTGTTTATTTATCTTTTTTCCTTCTCGATTTTATTTAAAATAATAGTAAACTGCTTCATGACTTCCCACACTATGCTCAGCTCTTCAACTCGATCCGAAATTCTCCACCCATAACACATCATTAGTTAAAATGATTTTAACAATAATAAATTCTGACATTGCTAATTTTAAAATTAAAAAAAAATTCCAGCATTAAAATGATTTTGGGACAGGATCTAAATGATACCGAATGTGTCTGTTCCGATTTGCAACACGATGATTATTCGCCAGCATATGAATGGTATGTGTTGTCATTCGCTGCATTTTTTTTAGTTCAAAAAATTCATTGAAATTAACTCCCAAAAAATACGCCTAATTTGAAATCTTTCAAATTCCAGCTTCCTATAAATTTTTAACTCTACTTAATTTTTCACTATTTTTTGATATCAATAAGTTCCATTTCTTTGATGTCTGATGGAATCAATTTGAAAAATGATGAAAACAGAATTAAGAATTTTTTGTCCTTATTGACCTTTATTTCTTCAGCTTTATTCGCTTCCTTTCTTTTTTTTCATTTGATCTTTTTAACATTTTGAAATTATTCATCAAATTTTTAGGTTTAATTATATAGCAGTGATTATTTTATTACCATCAATTTCGGTTTTTGGTGTTGCGTCAAATATTGCTAATATTTTTGTTTATTCTCGTGAAAGGTTAGTGCTAAATTTGACGATAAAAGTGAATTGAATTTTAGAAATGAATTTGAAATAGAAGTTTCAATTACTGATTGCAGGATGCGCAATTCATCCAATACCTATTTGTTATTTCTTGCTTCCAGTGATTTTCTAGTTGTTATAACGGGCCTTTTCATTTTCTGGATCGATTCCGCCAGGTGAGTTTTTATCTTTTTTTTTGTTCAATTCTTGTTAATATGAAGGGAATGAAAAATTATAGGAATGTAAATTTACAACTAAAACAGTCCTATGAACTCAAGCTCAAATTTTTTGTCACTTCAAAATGATATTTCGGATTATCAACAACTTCTGTTATGGAATTTGCGTATAGCAAAAAATTCTGATTCGATAATCCTGTCTTCAGGACTTATATTCCTGAATTATCACGTGCACCTTACACAACCGTCTATGCATTACCTTTCGGATATATGGCGCAAACGTGCAGCGTGTATTTCACTGTTGCTGCTGCTGTCGATTGTTATATTAATGTTAGCTATTTTAAGCAACCGTGATAGAGATTGGGTTAATGAAAAGATTGACGTGAAATAATCTTTATAACAATGTGGAACGTGAGAAATATAGTATCTAGCGTTTTACCAACGTCAGAATCTATCTAATTGCAAAAATTATTATGAAATGTTAGTTCTTAATTAAATCTCTCAAATTCAATTTGTACATTATATCAGAATTTTAAGGTATGTTGGAAAACATTAAGTGCAAGTTATTGCACAATTCGACGTGCATGTGAAATAAATACGTGTATAACTGTATGCTCCATTATCTATAATTCATTACGTTTTCCTCAGTTTAATCTGAGAAAATGTTTACATGCTGGTTCAAAGGTTATTTTTTAACAAAAATAAAGCTAACTTAATATTTTAGTCAGCATGTATAGGAGTGTAAGAGAACTCGTTAGTTTTAAGAAAAAGTAGGAAAGAAAAAGCTGTCACAATGCATTAATCACATAGGTCATAGGTCACATCAATGACTTCTAACTGATATATTGAATAAAACACTAATCGAATTAGACTCTGAACTTGGCTCTAAATATGAATTTAGCCTTTGTCACCGGATTCAACTACAAAAGATTTGGGTGGGAAAAGATGGTAACCTTGACATAATAATTCTATTTCCAAATCTTTAAATTCTGGTAATGAAAAAATAGCAAATTAGTAAAATTTTCAAAAAAAAATAGCAAATTATAGCAAATTTTAAAATAGCAAATTAAAAATAGCAAATTTTCAAGATATGTACCTCGTTTTAATTTGAAAATTATTTTCTTGTAAAATTTTGAAACAATCTTCTCTATTTAATTGTCCCATTTAATATTCCTATATAAAATTACTATTACACCGATAATCACTTCTCTATTTTTTTACAATTTTTTCATGAACTTAACAATTCTGTACACATTTTAAATTATTTGAATTTTAGGAAATAATAGTTGAAATTTGTCCAACGTCTTTATTTTTTGCAATCAACACGATATATAACGTGTATATGTATATGGTGCTCATGACTTTACTACCTTTTCTATTTCTATCCATTTTAAATGCCATTATTGTTGTGCAACAATCATCGTAAGTTTTGAGCATATTTCCGGATATATTCAGAAGAAGTGAATGATGCAAAAAATAAAATTGATTTTGAAGTAATATGAATATGTTCCAGAAACTTTAGCTCACCTTGTAGCTTTTCATAATAATTAATATCATACAATTAATTAAGAAAACATTTGTTTGGTAGCTTTTGAAATACTATTTTTTTTTTGTTTATGCTTCAAATATCCATTTTATTCTTTTTTCTTTTAAAATAATGTGGATTTTTTTTTGATTTGATTCATTGAACATTATGATATGTTGACATTAATTTATTTAATTTATTAGTTATCAATTAATCTAACTTTGTCTAAATTTGTTTATCATATCAGTCAAAATACATCAATAAATTATTAGCAGTCACTAACAAATTTTGATAACAAATTTTACCAAAGCTTGTTTTAATTATTAATGATATTCTCCGCATTTTTGCATATACTCATTTACACTTTTACTTGACTGGTAATCTTTTTTTCTTCTTCATTAACTGTTACTGTATTTTAATTTCACATTTAATTATTTTAATTTCCTTAGCTATTCTCTTCCTTTTTGTTTTCACATCATTTGATTTGTTCACTCATTTCGGTAAATGAATGATTTTAAGAATTAAAATTTATAGCATATCACGATCGAATTCAATGGGTTTCGGCAAAGATGCTTCTCGAATTGCTGTAACGGGTAAATTTGATATATTGCATTTATAAAAATATTCCAAATATCTTGCGTTTATGCACAATATCTTAATTTTCAGCTTCTTTGGGTCATGTGAATAATACGATGCTTCAATCAACCGGTGGAAAGATGCTTGATAGAAGCGGTGAGGCAGCCGAATCCGATAACAGCATAACAATGATTATGGTGGTCATTTTGTTCTTATGCTGCAATATTTTGGTATGAATTCATCGGTTTTTGTTGCTTCAAGCGTTAGTTTAAAAATTTTTGCAAATTTATTACCGAATTCATTTACTCTCCTAAACGGACAACTATGCAAAACATCTATCAGATGGATTCATAATTTAACATAGCTATTTTGCTTTTAAATTAGCTTAATCATTAAATAATTCACTTTACATCATATTATGTTACATCATATTATGATTAATTTCTGAATTGAAATATAAACTCTGTAAAAAAAATTTCGAAAAATTTTTTAACACATTAATATATGATAATAATTGATCATTGATAATGAAATGTTATCGGATTTTTGATTTTAAACATTTTAACATTTTATCAAATCAATCATTTTACACATCTAAAGTTTAAATAAATGAACCAAAATTGTTACACCTATTTTATTATGTAATATGGTCAATTTCTTCAGGAAATTAGCGATATGATATTTTTTTTTTATTTTCAATTTTTTTTAAGGCATTGATAGTGAATGTCATTGAAACATTTTTTGAGCCGAGCACTTTGTTGGTCAATTTCCTCACCGATACGAGCAATTTTCTAGTGATTTTAAATTCCTCTATTAACTGTCTCATTTATTACACTTTTAATAAAGAATACAAGAAAGTCTTCCTGTAAGTGTTTTCTAATAATTTCACCTTCCATTTTACAATTATTTAAAAAAATTTATTAATATTTGATTTATGTTACATGTTTGAATTTAAAATACTTCCGTTTTCTAGAGATACAAATTATTCATTTAGGATAAAAGTTCGACAATTGATTAGGAAATACTTGAAATTTAACGTTGATCGAACACAGTGCACATCATCTAATGCCACTCCCGTTATTGCACAAATTTTTAAAAAGAATTCATCAGGTCAAGGTAAGCATTTTTGAATTTAAATTTTAAAAAATTAATATGGCTGAAATTATAACTTTAATTATTTGTTCATTTATGTTAAGTTAAATATATTCTAGTGATTTTATTGACTTCAATGAATGGCGAGGCATTTTCCAATATTATTACTTTTAGAAGGAGTGATTTGTAAAAAAGGTTAAATTTCTTGAAAGCTATCAAATTTCTTTAGTTTAATTCTTCAGTTTCACAAATTGAAATGAAAATATGAATTTTTGTTTGTTTAGAAGTGATGAAATGTGATTCACCGATTTGGAAACCTATGTGTCGTCCGATTAGAAAAAAAGATTCATTTCCTATAACAAACATTGATAAAGCAAATAATTCAAGTATCTCAGTTGATAGAATATATTAAATTTCTTTCAAAATTTCCTTTTTTTGATTTTTTTTTCAAAAGTTATTCAGTTGCATATAAAAATAATAATTTAGCGGTCCAAAATTTAAAACGACATCCTAAGGAATTTTGAAAACTTTTATTTATCACGTGTAGGTGTAAATAATGCGGGTTGTTTGGAAATTTTACTGGACGGTACCGTGGAACATGTTAAATTGAACAGCAATTGGGCAAATATCGCTAATATTAAAGTGAGTTATTGATCAATTTTTGAAATTAATTCCTCGGCCTCTTTCATCGTTACTCTGAGCAACCGATGGAAAAAATTTTTCAATTTTTTAGCTTTTTAAATTCGAAAAAATAAAAAATTAACATTTCTGCTATTGATGTATACAATAAATCGGTAATTAAGTAATTGTAATTTAATTCTTCCATTTTTCATTGTGAAGATAGAAAAATTAAATAAAATTTTTAATGGAAAATGCATTTTGCAGGATGGACACTGTCGAAAACAAATATTATGACAAAACGTTGAGATCTGAGATAGAAGACGAATGTGACACTTCGAATTCACGTGTTTATCTTTTGCCTTTACAAAAATATATAGCCGAAAATGTTAGTGCTGCAACTTTGTAAGTAATTATAAAATTTAAAATTTGAAATTAAAATCACAATTAATAATATTATGATATTGCTTTATGTTTTTCATGCAATGAGCTGTTACTATTGAACGTTGAAATAATTTGATACATTTTCCATCTGTTTAGTTTTTGTTATTCAATAAGCAAAAAAAATCTTGTAAATTAAGAGAAATAAAAATGAAATTGAAATTTTAAGCAAAATAAATTTTAACTATTAACATTGTTTTTGAATAAAAATATAGTAATTGATCCTAAAGAAAAATAGATATGATTTGATGGATCGTATCGTACATAAAATCCCAAACTTCCATCACTTACAATACAGTGCCATGTCGAACCATACCTGTCCTCGAAATGAGACATAATGTATTGAGCCATTGCCATATTTTGATTTGAATGTCTAAATTTTATAATATAATTTATAGATGATGCATACATATTATTTCAAAAATTTGCAAAATTTACAGCTACCAAAGCTAAAATAAAGGCAAGTAAGATTGTAGATGTTAAATTATGATAAAGCAATTTTTCATTCTAAAAAGTTTAAGAGTGAAAAAAAATTTAATTGTAATGCCTAACACATTTCATGCAATTTGTAAATTTCTGAATTATGTTTATTTTGCGTGCATTATAAGTGAATCTAATTTGTTGCGAAATATATTCCAAATTAAAATGAACAAATCGAAATAATTTTCAATAGATTACAAATAAATATTTTTACTAAAGTTATAAAACATTTCTAACTTTTTAAATTTGAAAGCTTTAAAGCAAAATAAACCATCGCCTATTTCATCATTTTTATTTGTTTCTTTAGCTAATACCATTTAATTTCGAGTGTTTGTCGTTTTTACTCGAAATTCAATAAAAAAGGAACTTACTGCGCAATGGCTTCATTAGCGCATTGAACTGCATATTGTTGTTTTTCCGCGTCCATACCTGATGCTATAATTTGAGCATTTCCAATTTCGGTAACACAATTCGGATTTGGGTCATCAATTATTTGAGAGTCAGACATAATATCCTTTGATAGACTTTTAAAGAGGTTCTGAAAAAAATCAATTTTTTTTTTGGGAATTAAAGGACTTTCAAGATGATCGTACAGGAAAGCGACGAAAGTGAGAATAAATTTTTCATGAATTTCAAATTAATAATAAAAATTGATAATTAATAAAAAGAATAAATTTGAGAATTTTAAAAATAAAATTTTGAAAATTGGAAATTTTGAGAGTTATGGGAAAATGCAAAATCTAAAAACGCTTTAAGGATCATTGAGTTGCGAATTTTGTTACACTTCAAAATATTTCAGTATTACCTACAACAGTCTTTGTTTAATAGCTACTAATTTCTTGTTATTCCAAAGCGGGGAAAAAAATAAGCAATGTGAATGAAGCTGAATATTTTGGTAAAATAAGAAGGAATCAATTTAAAATTATGTTCAATGAATTGTTAATAATTTGAACAGCAATTCCTATGCGATTTATAAAAATAATCATATCAGTGATGAGAAGTTTGCTCCGAATCGGTATTTTTTTTTAATTTTACGTATTTTCATACTGATGGAATTTGCAAGCTATGTTGAAAAAATTTTTAAATTATTTTGTCCCAAATCTTTCAAACAATGAAAACGAAGAATGAAAGAGCACAAAAGGTCATAAGCGTTTATGGCTAATCTTTGAAGCGTAAAGTAGCAGTAATTACGATACGGTTAATAATAATCCAGCAGTAGTAGATATCGTGGAAATACAACTGATTATTGACAGAATGATTACAATACTGATAATGAGAATTGCAAATGTCGCAATGTTATTTCGTATTGATAGCTGGCAAAAATTAAATCCAATTTTATGAAATCATGAGCTGAGGATGAATTTCATAAATGGAATAAATCAATGAATTTTTTTAATAAAGTAAAATTCAAAATAGTTTTTTGTTTGAAAATAATTTTGAAAAAAAACTCCAATTTTTTCATATGTTCAAAATTAATAGAACAAAAAGAAATTCCGGAATTTTATCTAAAATTTTCACTTTACACTAAAGAAAGTTCAAACAAATATTTCACTCATAAATATTTTTAAAGAAAAATAAAAGGAAAAAAAATTACGGGAAAGTATAAACATTGCAAAAAAAAGAATTTACGATAGTATGAAGCATCAACTATTATCGATAATACAAAAAAATAAATTTAAACCAAACTTGACAAGTTATGTTTTTTTTTAAACACTGAAAAATTTACAAAACTGAAAATTTTTAGAACTCAAATTTTTTTAATATTTAAAAATTTATAAGAACTTTATCATTGTTATTTATTAATTAACACTGTTACTTATTTGATATAACAATTTTCATAAGCAGTAATTATTTGATAGCATTATGTTTATGAAGTAAAAGTTTTGTAGAGAAAAATGGTATGTCGTGATAATGCGAAATAAATGTAATTCTGTCTGTCGTAACGGAGATAGAATCCCAACTGTCCATTGCTAACAATGCAACACCACGGTGATCCATAACGTTCCTCAAAATGCACCATAATATGACGCGCAATTGCCATCATATGATTTGGAAATCTGAAATACTAATTATCATCTCATTAATTAGTGTCTGATATATTATCATATACAGTATAATCGGATAATTGCTTAATTGCATCTTCTGTAATCGAATGACTGATATCATTCAAGCAGTAAATTTTAACGATTACATTTAATTTAATTAGAAGTATTTTAGTTTTCCAACAAGACATAATGAAATTAATTGATGCAAATGAACTTTTGTTGGATTTTTAAATAAGATGAAAAAAAAAAATGCAAAATTTATTCTTAATTGACTAGATTGATTAGTTTGCTCATAAAAAAGGATAGTACTTACTGTGTAAGTGCTTCATTAGCAAGTAATGATGCATACTGTTGCATTTCCATGTTCATACCGGTAGCAATAACTTGGCATGCTTCAGATCCTGTTGATGCTGGTACCGGTTGTGGATGATGATTACGAGGATGAGGAGGAGGTGGAAAAGGAAGAGAAGGTTCTGGTAAATCTTGAGGATGAACTGGAGCTGGCGATTGGTCTACATCTGGTTGTGGAAGTTTTGGTTCCGAATGTGGAAGTACCGGAGGTGTACTAGACTTGTCAGGTTGCCTTGGCTCTTCTGGCTCTACAGGCTCTGTTTGCCGACGTGGTGGTGGTGGTGGTAATACGTCATATCCAGGCAGTTCTGCTTCCTCACCATGATCATTATCAAATTCTCCTCTATCATCTTCCGGCTTGTCAGTTTTTGGTGTTGTTGTAAAATTACCGCCGTCTTCAGTTTGATCAGCTGGTAACAAATGCCCTTCTGCATCACTTTTTACTTGATCCTTATTCTCCGTAGACTTTTCAACATTACCGGTAGCATCATCCGTTCCTCTATCGGATTCTCTAGCTCTTCCGTTGCCACCGTTATTGTTAATATCATAATCATACGGCAACAAGGTTATCTCTTCTCCAATCTCCTTGAAGTATCATTAATATGATTTTTCAATCTTTTTTTAAAGTAATTGTTTTTCAATTGAAAAGTTTGACGAAATAATTTACAAATTTAAATAATTCGTTAAATAAACTACTTAATTTTTTAAAAATCGTCCAAAAAATCTTTATAAAGTTTCATATCTTTGAATAACAATTCAAACTTACAGTCATCAGAAATTAAAGATAACTTCGAATAAAATGATAGGATGTCGTTTCGCAAGGCGGAAAGAGTTAGAGGAAGAGATAAAATTTAATAAAACATAAAAATGTTGTTCGGCTCAGCTGTTATTTTTTATTTGTTTCTTTGCAGAAAGAGAAAAAATGGAAACTAAACTGAAGAAAAAGTGTAAAGTAACAGGTGCGCTTATGTTTATCACCATATGCTCAAAAATTCATTTCTCTTTTTTTCTTCCTCTTAAACAAATTAATCTTTGCTAGCTTGTCAAATTAGCAATAGAATTATCGGTTTGTATTAGTCCAGGATGGATTCGTTCGAGAATTTTCTAAAAAAATGAAACAAGGAACATTAAAACATG